CGCACAACTATAGACTTATCTATTGTTACGTAGAGCGCCGGTAGCTATAAGATGTATCTATTGACGTACGCCTGTACATGTGGGTAGCTGAATGCACTGTGTTTGTACTGCATATGCGCGCGCATACACATCCGAACAGATGTATGCAAACATACGCGCATATACACATATACAGTCACACAGGTACAAACATGCATACACATACAAACACGTACACAGACTCATTTATTTATCTATCACCATCTCTTCACAGAGCACCGGAGGTTATCCTAGGAGTACCCTATGGTACACCCTTGGACATGTGGGCGGCTGGATGCACGCTGTATGAGCTATACACGGGCACCATTCTCTTCCCAGGCAAGACCAACAACGACATGCTGAGGCTGCAAATGGAGCTCAAGGGCAAAGTGTCCTCTAAGATCATCCGTAAAGCCGCCATCAGGAAGTAAGCTGTGTGTGCCTGTGCCTTGGTGTGATTCTATGCCGTAAACTGGGTCTGTAATCCTCTAAAACTGGGGCTGTCGAGATATGTATCTCAAAGTGGAGTGTTAGGTCGAATCGGTGGTGAGGGGTGTGTAACTGTGCCTCTTTGGCAGGTAGTGTGTGTGTAGGCGTAAGTGTGTCTTCATGTATGGGGTTCGAGAGTATAGGTTTGCGTGTGTGCTGTATACCACATCCATCTTCTCTGCTGCACGCTTCGCAACCCGAATCGCTTCTTCAGTGAGGTCATAGGCTTCTCAGAACTACACCGCTCATCAAAATCTCGTCAGTGTCAGAGTACTTAACATGATATGACCATAACCAAATATCCAATCATGTTGACATGCCGATATATAGAATACATGTATATCTAGTTTCAATATATAAAATGCCATCATATCTAACCCACGCATCTTGCTATCCACAGTGAATATTTCGATGAGAATATGAACTTCCTGTACCAGGACGTCGACGCGGTGACTGGAAACGATGTGATTAAGGAGATTGCCCATATAAAACCTGCCAAAACGATCCATCAATTGGTATGTGCCGAGTCGGTGTACGCGCTCTGTACAAGACATTATGCGACGTGTATGTGTGAAGTTGAAAGTCCATACATACAAAGGAACGCGTACGGGGCATATGCACGCTTACAGCCAGGGGTATGGCCAATGCGTATACTACGTACACATGCACGCACCGCTTTGGTTCCTGTACGACTGTCGATAGGGAAGTCTTCTCATGGGGGGTGTTGCGTTGCGAATGAATGTGTAATGAGTCCGGTGAGCGTGTTACGGTGAGTTAAAACACCTCACCGCACAGCCACTACTCGTATTCTATTTGTGGCTTGTTTTCAGGTGTCTATGGCCCTTGTTTGCGAATACTGTATGGGCTTTACTGGACGTTCCCATGGCTCATCGATGGGTTGACTCTTGCTATTACATCTACTCTAGCTATCTCTCGTCTGTGACGTGTGTGTTGCGTGTGCTACGACGTGTTCAGGACAACGAAGTTGTTTGTTTCAATAGCATAGCACTCTTATATGGGAACTCCGATTTAAACGTCTTAGAAGGGTTTGCCTAGCATCGAGTAAGCAAGCCCATCCAGCCAAAGCGGGTGTTCTGTGCCAATACACTCAGTCCGCGTCACGTATCAGCTCAACGGATCACCTGCGCTGAAATGTCCTCTGCATAAAACGCATGCGCATAAAACATGTTGCCACTCCATTGTACGCATATATACCTATATCTCTCGTCATTGTACACATGCACGTGACTTCACACGGACAAACTTATGAATTATTCTGCTCAACACGCCTTGTTTATTATTTCTTCTTACCAACACGCCCCGATTGCAGTTGGAGGGTCGTTTGGAACTGTCGCCGTATGAGCAGGAGTGGGAATCGTTGTTCGCCGATGTTCTCGAGCGTATGCTGATGACTGACCCAGACAAGCGCATCACCGTGTCCGAGGCGTTGAGACACAAGTTCATAGCA